TATATATATATATATATATATATATATATATATATATATATATATATATATAAATTATCCAAAAATTGCTGTTTTAATTTAAAAAATACTTTTAATTTATATATAATTCTTTAAAAAAATCACAAAACAATAACAACCAAGAAATTGTATAAATAAAAAGGAACAAGAGACGAAAAATGTTCAGAACGAAAATGAGGTGTATATACGGCTGGATTAAGTTTCTCGATCCGTAAAATATTTTGTAAAGAATATTTCGTGAAAGAATTATAGATTTCGAAGTGCCTTATAATGCGTGCGATATAAAATAAGAAAATAGAGAAAGAAATTTGCTCGACAATGGTGCGATGACACGTGATTCCTGTTCTCATTATATTCAACTCAACATCGAAATAAACTCGTTCTAACATAAATATCTTTATCAAGGTTACGAAGGAGCGAGACCTTGCTCTATTTCCAATATGAGAAAACGTAAAAACGTTTAACTTTTTTGAAGCTATCTTAAAGGCATCCATTCCCAGCGTATCGCTAAAAAAATTTATGCATTCCCACTAAAAAAATTATGAATTATGAAGTGGAGATCAGATCGGAAGTGGCATATAACGGAGATGCACTTACTTTTACCAACTACTCTTCCGACGCGATCGTAAGGCTCGTGAGAGTACGATGGATAAGGACTCAAGCAAATATCCGCGTATCCTGGGCCACCAAGCGGATTGGGCTTGATCTTCATATTAGGTGGAACCGGCGTCTTTTTTCTCGCTTCCACTTTCAACTGCGGACTGAAGTAAGAAGATTTAGCGAAGCATCCATACCAGTCTCCGGGCGTCGAGTGCTTCTTCGATGGAGATGTCGGTAACATGCGACCGCCAATCTTCCTCTTCTCATCTTTTATCTGAAATGTATGCATCGTAAAATTTTACTCGACGTATATCAAAGCTATAATAAAGATTCTTTTCCTTGTAACGTTCTTAAAGCGAAAATGTAACCGAATACGAGATAAGCAAATTAAATTAATATATAGTTAAACAAATACAAGATGGAAGTGAAATAAACAAGAAAAATTTGACAACGTATTCTACTTAATCAAGGGTTACTTAATCAAGTGCAACTGATTAATTGGACAGTTTCGGCTAGATCAGCGCACATTTAAAAAATTATAATCAAACCTTATTAAACGATATTCTCCAAGGAAGGGTATAAATTCCTCTGACAGGGATTTAATTAAAGTTTAAATCTCAGTTGACACAGTAACAGACCCTACGCACGAACTTTCAGTTCCTCAGCGTTTTATTTTCAATAAATGATCAAGTATCGATTTGCCGTAGTTTCTCATATTATAAATACGTACCCGTTGCTTCGCCTCGTCGCGCCACGGCTCCGTGAGTGCCTCGCCTTCAAAAATTCGCTCATACTTCTTTTCGAATAATTGATTAGGAGGTGCACCGAGAATCTGGCGCCCTTTGGCAACATCTTCACGAAATTTTACGGGTTTTCGATAAACGTCAAAGGGACCCGGTGGTGGATCGCTGAAGAAACCTGAAAAGGCTTTGTCTGTGGAAATCCTCGAAACACACGTAGGCACTTTTATCGCTCGATTTCATATGCATTACCCACTCGTTCGATATCAATTTTTCCGTAGTGGCGACCAACAAGCGCAATATTTATTGCACGTTTCTTACTCATGTTTTACCTCTTTTGATAACTCTAACTTCCGCATTGTTCTTTTTTTAAATATAGTAACCTAAAACTTTGTCATTTCATAATGAAGACAGTTTTATGCGAAACACGCACGCGATCTTCGTTTATCAAAAGAAAGATAACAGAACTTATTAATAGAGGAAATAGCTTCAAAATTGCATTTCGGCCACAATTTTATGAATTTTTTCCAGAAATACGTCAAACAAAATAGCAATTAAATGTATAATGCATACCATGAGAATCGCATAGGGTCACATAGGACGTCTTGAACGTTAAGAGTGAACTTATGAGTAATTGACCCGGTTACCGCCAGTAATGAGACGTTCTTAATGAGTCGACGTTAGTACCAGCAGATCTACGGTATATTCTCGTTGCGGTAACACTGGGAACATTTCATTACTGCCTGTTTGGAGACTAAATACTGAAGGAGTGGCACATTCGCGAGAGAAGCGATTATAATTGTGTACGGTCTGGTCTCATTAACGATATGTGAACGATGGAAAGATCATTGAAACTTGAAACGCTGTCCCTGATAAAGGCGTGTCCCTCGAAGTAAACGCGAAAACTGATAATTACAACGACGCAATCAATTCAAAGTTACAATCTACTGAAAGTTCGTAGTTTACTTCTCGAATCACACAAAATAAAAAGAATTGGAATGATCTTGCTAACGTTTTTCTCATTTCAAGTGATCCGAGTTGCTGACGATCGTGCGACTGTAAGTTCTCGCCGTAAAAGACCGAGTTTGTCTTCGCCCGTAATAGTCATGCGTACGTGTCAAACCGGTAATTTCCACGGTCTCTCTATCTACCCACCTAAAATGCTTCCGCGCGATCCAGCGTACAGTTCGCGAAGCGGGGCGACAACGGCCGCGATAATAACTAAACTTTCGATTGCCAAGGCAACCCATTAAGATAAGACTTCGAGGCGGCTAAAGGGGAGGCCCGCGCTTTCGAGCGGGAGTAGTTGCGGAATCTGTAAGAAATCGTAGCAGAGCCGAGGCTGTGGGGAAAGCGGTAAAACGGAAAAACGGGGGCGAGAAGGATCGGAAAGAAATCGACGGCCGGAATAACGGGTAAGAATGGTAGAATAGAAAAAGAACGCGCGAATAAAAGGAGGAAGGACGGCAGGGATGAACGAGATAGAGGCGAAGGTGGTGGGAAGGTCGATGGAGATGTCAGCGGTGGAAATGGAAAAATGTTGATATACATCGGCCGCGCGATAAGGCGGTAGATCGATTAAGATTAAACGTCTGGTCGCCCGAGTTTAAGACAAGTTACATTGGAAACTCAGGGGAATCGCCTTCTGTAGAATTGAAATCAAGAACGTGACCGTTTAATTTGCAAATGGAAGGAGAACGATTGGCTCGCTCAGCTCAGTTCGACTTGCTTCGAATCGCTGCGTCCCCGACACCGCGAGGAAATCATGATAGTGCTTTGTCTCTTGATCACCGGATATTCCTCGTAATGTTCGTACAGTAACGCGCGCATGATTTTTTTTTTTAAGAATTATGAATCAGATATAAATCCATTACTGTTGACAAAAATATTGTCCCGCTCCGCAATTTATAATTATAAAGCTGACCTGTTTTTTACTATGCAAAGAGCAAATAATTGAAGTATCTAGGACACGCGCGGATGTCACTGTTCTGTAATGTCGTGATATTTTGCGCCCGGTCGTCACCTTTTCCAAACTGCCCTGAAAATCGTGAACATTTTTGGTTATTACCTTTTATATACTTTGACGGGAGTCGAAATTGGAAAATGTCAAATCGACTATTCGAAGGGTCGGTATCGTCTTGATGCAATCCCATTAGCAAAGGAAAAGTTGACGCGAAAAATAACCATATCCGCTATTTTTAAATCATGGTGTATTCAAAAAGATTACAGAAAAAAATCGTAAAAGTAAACCATGTTATCGTCCCAGTTGAAGACGATTTAAGAGAAACATTTTCAGAAAATCTGTCGAACTTCGATTAATTTAATCCTGTGTTATCCGTTTCTCCGAAAGGTTTGCCGAGAAAACAAGCCGTCAATAGCAACGGCAATAATAGCGCAATCGTAAACATGAGATGTACAAACGAGTTATATCTATATTCGGCACGTGTTCCTGGCACCCGACGGTCTAATAGGGGTCTCACAGAATTGCAGAATTATCGATAACGCGGTAGCATTGCGGAGCCACATCCATTAATTCAACCTTAGCCTAAGGGGGTTTAAATAATTAATCGAGGGACCCGCCCGTCGCGATTAAACGCTACAATTAAGCCAAAGGTTCGCCGGACGTCCAAGCCAGCGACCGCATCGTCTTTCTATATTCTCATTTCTGTAAGAGATATGAATCAACAAGCTGCAGCAATATCCAATGCCCGAATGCAGGTACGAATAGATCTTCGTATCGCTATATTGCGATACCGTTTTCTAATTTGGTATTAAGATTATAATTTGAAAAGTGACACGCATCACATCAAACGTTAAATTCTTACATTGTACGCATTTAAAATTTGCCCTTTTCATTATTATGTCAACCGCAATGCGCAGCGTGTACTCGCGTTACCCTTTATGAAATAATTAGCAAAAGAGGACGTGCACGTTATCTAAAATTAAATCACTTGCATGGTGTTGAACTGCGTATCCTTGCTTGGAAACCGTCCCACTTGCCGTGGTCAAAGAGCCAAACTGTTTATACTGACTGAGTGTCGCGATTGTTGGCAAATTGGCGGTGGACGGATCTGTCGACGATGGCCAGGGTTTGATGAAGTAATGGACGTTCTCTGTCGGCGTGTTGACCTGGCCAAGCCACATACATTGTAATGGTACGTACACAAAGCCGACAGGCAACGTGGTGACTGCCAATACGCATTTAGCTTTGTACGTAAGCCCCTGTATGTACATACACCATGTATCTGCACACGATGCGTACTGACGTAGCGTAAGCCGTGAATCGTTCTTGCATTGGTTATTGTCCGCCTCATCATCATTCTGAAGTCCCTGTAGACGCTTCTCTGATATGACACTTTGCATCTCGCGGACGACTTCGACAAAACGTCTTTTTTTTTTTAATGCACAAAATGGGATTATTAATCCATTAATATTACCACGCGGTACAGCGATGTATATTTAGCGGAAGAACAATCGTAACCCAAAATGTTTGGGCGGCGTGATTTTTATGGGCAACCGTATACTAGCGCACTGTCTCTGTGTCCTTTTTTTCGAGCATCCGCAACTTGACTGCGTCGAGATGATGCATAGCTCACCAACGGTATGCGCCAGAAGATTCCACGTGTCGCGCATCCCGCTACGTGCCGCGGCAGTATACGAAATTATGACAAAGGGTTTATGTCTTTCTCTGCTCTGCCACCTCGCAAAAAGAGAAACGCTGCTCATGCGAGCGCGGTGTACGACACAATGGAGGCACGGGGAAGTACGCAACAGCCACGGTCGAGAGCTAGCCCCGAAATAAAGCGGTTTGTTTCACCGGCGTTGTTTTAGAAATACCTGGCATCACAACGTACGGTGATATTTCCCTTAATCAAGGATAGTGCGCACAAACGTTGCACAAAGGGGAAACGTACGTGTTTAACGGTATTACGTGTCTCTAAGTTGTGATTATTTTACATATAATTGCGCTGTCTTTTCTTATTTTTGCAACGACATTGTTTGAGAGAATTTTAGTGAATTTTTAGCTGATTATGTTTTTCATAAATTTAAAATCGATTGTTTCTTAACGATAATTTATTAGCTTATTTCAATACCGCGCCGGGTGTATTGCTTATATCCTACAATATTCTGTATAAAGGAGAAAAAGAGAGAGAAAGGGTACGTCGCGACGGTAGCGCGAAAAGAAATTATGGGCAACAAAATAATTATTCGAAACACACTTATGCGCGATGTTACACCACATCATTTACGTCACAAGAATATACTTTACATCTGTCCGTACTTGTCTCTCTCTCTCTCTTTCTCTCCCTCCTCCCAACCTCCCCTTCTCCTTCCCTCCCTCTCTCATTCACACAGCAAACGTCAGTGCCAACATTCTGATTTAGTTATTTTTCCAGGACGGTGTATTGCTGAAAAGGGAGCTATTAAAAACCGCGGCGCTTAACGCACCCAGTCTGCCCGGAGTATGGCAATGGGGTGTTCTTTTTTCTGCCAGCTCTCGCGCGGGCTTCGTTTTTTTCAATTTTTCGCCCGGCACTCGGTGCTCCAACGAAGCCTCTTCCGGCGGCTTTTATCGTAGCTCGACTCGCCCAGTGAGTTTATCATTGTGTCGCTTCCCCAGACCGCCATGAAACCCTCGAATAAGTCTTCTCAACCAACACGTCGAAGGGAATAATCGTTTCACTCTTTTGGGGGGAATACGGAAGGAATGTATCATGAATGATAGAACGAATATCGATATAGATTACGAGCGATCGCATTCCGGGCATGGGAATGGTGTGGCAATTTCCATAATCATGCCAAGGACAATCATTAAAAAGGTCATCTCTCGGCCTTCGTCGCGAGCAGTTTCTCTTTTCGACGAAATAAAGTGGCTATAAAGAATGCAATAGAGTTGAATTAATGAGTATCTCTTCGTAATGGATACTAAGTAATGCTCTCCCGGTGACGGTTTTTTTTTCTCCCTTCTCTAGCGCGCGAGTCCACGGACATATAATTTAAATTAATAAAAGTTCATCAAATTTTTCATAACGGAATTAATGCGCACGACGGAAAGAACTCGGAGCCAATTAGCTATTTAAATGCCGGGACGCAGAACATATACAACACCCCCTTTAATTATTTTGTGAAAAACGGTATCGCCGTGACGAGAAGGAGGAATGAGTAAATACTCGGTGATTAAGTACTATACATTTTATTGTATCCTGCGTTCGAGTCTTTATAAATAATGAACAGTGAATACCGACATTGAATGAGTTTTCTATTTCTCTCTCACACTCTCTCTGTCACTCTCTCTCTCTTTCTTTCTCTCTCTGCATTTGCTGATGGACTGGGCATCGTGAGTTCGTTCGCTTTAATCGCATTAATAATGATATAGTAGTACCAATAACGTACAGATGTGCTTACAGACTTGCTTTAACCATTATCGTGGATATATTAGTATGGATGCATGGGGATGAAATATGATTAATGATGATAGAATATATTGGAGAACACGTTCATGCGCGCGTGCGAATTCACGCGGCATGACGCGGCGGTACGTACACCACACTTTCGCACGTCCTTCGCACCGTTCAGAAATTATACAGCTCTGCCCGCGGCTTAACTTCTAATTTCGAATTACATTATCGAACACACGTAGATTATTTCGCTCGCAATCTCGTGCCCCTGCGCACAGACGTGTATACACACAACGCCCACGTACGATATTATCCAGAAGACTTTCGCGCGGAAGGTAATCGTCGCGGAACAGTGAACAATGGCTAGCCATACTGGGCTGGGCGAGGAAATAAAACCAAAGAGAAAATATTAAAAACGAAACTGTGCTTATATTCCGGAGGGCCACTTTTAATTAGAGATAATCTCTCGAAGATTAGCGAGGCCAAACGCAGAATTGTTCTGAGCGAAGATTATTAAAAGGCGGGGTGTGTGCAGATAAGCGTATAAAAATTCGCTTTGATATCAAAACCTACGAGTTATATTCACAAATTAAACCTACGTAATATTCGGTAAATAAGCGATGTATCTTTGGAATAAATGTTTTTAATCGTTACACATATATATCTTGTATTAATATGTGATTTATTTAAACAATAACTTTTAACAACGGAAATCTTATCCGATGTTTTACCAATGGATAGAAATGTAATGTCCATAGTCCATTATCTCATTGTATTATTACTTCAATATCATGCAATATCTTCGGGGCTCGTTTGGGTGGAAATTTTAATACAAGGTAATCGGTCCTGAACTTTACCACAGTTATACTTAATACTTAAAAATTACTAAAACAATTACTTACTAAAATAGTTAAACGAGAAATTGAATAGAAAAAACTATTCTTAATAGACCCTAAATATTTTCTAAGAATAAACGATGTTTGCTGCGACGATATTGCAGTTAAAAGCTTTCTCTTATATTCTTCGAAAATGAATTCCGTGCGCTAGCAAACGTGGAACAAGCAAACAATCGAAACTGATGACATTCGGTCGCGTTGTGCCTGTCGGCGAGCGACAGCGAATAGTTCGCGTGTAAAATCTACGTTTGCGTCACCGACGTAGTTATAAAACTGTCAGTCGTAGTTTGCACGCTTTGACGTTAATTCGCATAATTGGGCTCACGCGGATTTAAGACCGTCTGAACGCCGCGTAGAAACAGGGCGAATAGAACAGACGACTCAGTCGTCTCGAAACTTCCATTAAGAGATAGCGGAACGGCGACGAAAGAAGCCGACGATAAATTGAAGAGCTACACGGGACGAGGGAGAGAGAGAGAGACGACCGCGGGTCGGGGGAGGCAGACACAACTGAATGGAAAGTTTGCCCCCGCGAAACGTTCGGACCGTCGTTACGATTCAATGCATCCCGATACTCCGCTTTGGATTCTGGCTACTACCTCTCGCTCGAAATAATAATTAAATTTATCGCGGGCGCTGGTTACGCGCGGATGTGGCTTTTGCGTAACGGATCGCGCGCGCGCGGCCGCACGCGCCTCGTTGAAATATTTTGCACCTGCTCGTGCAATAATGCCTCTGTTAAATTATCACATTACAGCCGGCGAACGAGAGCATTGCCGCGAGTAGAAACTACTGATTTACGCCAAACTAACCGTACGTCATTGTCAGGCCAGGGGCTGCTTAACGGTTCATTTTCCATCGGCGCGATCGGTAATTTGTTGCCCGATCGATCCTTGTCCGACTTGTCGCGCTTTTAACGGTGCCACACACGTTCCGATCCCGCGCATTACAATTCCGCCGGCCGAGCGATCTGCATTACATCCCTCATGCAATCGTATACTTACCACCGCTATATAGCGTGCGAGAGCTATAAAATTTCGAAAATGCAAATGTTATTTGCATGTGTTTACGAAAATGCAAATGTTATTTGAGATTTCACTTAAAGTTTCTGAATTTAGCTTACATCTGTTCGTTTGTTGCCTCCCCAGTTGTGTTTCATTAAATTTTAGTAATATTTCATACAAATCAATTTAATATCTTTAAAACAAAGAATATGACGCGGATTGAAAGCCACTCGCGTAGCAATAAAAAGTTAGAAGTTAAGTTATTTATCTATTCCTATAAAATTGCATAGATCTTCCGTAATATGTATATAAAAATAATTTTGTCACGCTTTTTGTTGTTAAGTTGACTGATAATTTATTATCTGCGTTTGAAAAAATATAAGTGTTATTGTAATATAAAATCAAATAAACAAAAAATTTGTTTCGAAATCTAATAATCTATATAATATTTTAATAGTTTTATATATAAAAAGAAATTTTATATAGAAATGTATATATTCCTCTCTACATTTTCTAAAAAATATATTGTGAAATAAAAAATGTCACAATATACAAATGTAAAAAGCATAGAACTTTCCGAATCGTTCAATCGTAGCAATTCGTAGGGTAGATAAAAATATGCTCAACAACTAGCTGGAAGAGAAAAATGGCCGTGTCAAATTTTCACAAATAACATTTATTACACCCACGACGATTATGTAATCTTTTGATAACTAACGGATTTTATTTGATGTTCGTCAACGTCAGGCATTTTGAGCGAATGACGAACGATGAATAGATCCTCATCGGCCACGTTCATCGCGTATTTTTCGCCCCATGCACGAGCATGAAAACTACCACTGAACAACGTCGATGCATCGCAATCGTTGTTTTATGCTCGACAAAGGCGTCGATTTCTTTGAACCATTGCGAGCCTCGAAAATATTGCTTCCATATTTTATCTAGATAAAATCGAACAACAATATAACAATATGTGGATAAAATCGATGTTTTGTTTCAGCAATTTTTCATTAACAGCGTAATTTTGTTTGCAAAATTGCAACGTAAATTCCAATTATCTGTTAATTTTGTAAGTGGATAAGTTTTGATTTGTTTAAAGATTTGCATTTTACAACGTAAAGTAAAAATGTAGATGATGATATGTAGATATACGTGGAATTAGTTCGAAGCTATCAAAAATTTTGGTGCTAAACGAATGAAAATATTTTTATTACTCTGCGAGCAACACAGAGAGATATAATATTGTATAACTGCTGAAATCGGTCGACAGAAAAGATAATTCGAACTTATAGTCACAGCAGTCAGCAGTACCAAATTCTTTGGACGGTGTCGTTTGAAAAATCTTATAATCAATCTCATTCTAAAAATACATAACAATTTACAAACAAAATATAAATTCAACAAATATATATATAAAAGTATATATATTTATATATATATATACATTTAAAAAATCTTCGAATTTTATAACGCACTTACCCTCGCAAGATTCGTTTCTTTCGATCGATAGACAGTTTTTCGTTGTTACACCCTCCGAAAAACGATATATTAAAATTAATGCGGGAACGATACATCCCTGAATTTAATTCGCATTTATCAATAATAAACAAAATATATTTACCTATATTTCTTAAAATTCTTTACGATATAAAGATAAAACAATAAAACGAGGACGTCTTCGATTGCAATCGATCGAATCATCGCTTGGCTATATTTTTTCAGCACAATCAGCACGAACGTATGTCATAGAGTCGAGCATTACATGTCACACGAACGGAATTCTCTTAATTAACGTATCCGCGTTTGAACATTGCGGACGTGTAAATAACATACGCATCAACAATGCAGCGTCAACACGTTAGTACCAAGAGCTCAAACACGCGAAGGAGAGACGTATAAGTTTCTATCCCTCTTCCTGAAATTCACAGCGTGCGCTTCTGAGCGCACAGCGAGCGCTATTCGTCCTTCTCTTACCTAAAATCCCGCATTGATCGCCGCTGGAAGCGATTAGTCAAGTTTCTCGAGAGATGCTCGAAAATGCTCCGTGGAAACTGATATACGCCGTCTCGCGCGTCGTGCGACGAAACTGCGAGACGCGGTTGCACTTCACAGTGAAGCTATACTTGTCCAAAAGTTAAAGTCCACGATCGAAACGGATTCAGGATGATATCTCCGTCGTCGCGTTGCCGCGTACACACAGCGTCGTATTTGCGTCTAGCGCGAGAATATCTATATCCGTTCTATGTAATTCGCGGCAATATCGCGTGTGCGGCGTGCACGCTCGAAAGGGAGCGGAGGAGGGCCTAATGCCCCAAAGTTTCCGTCCGTTTCGAGAAGATCTTCCGGGCGCGCGGGGTCTCCATGGAAAAAGAGAAAATTAGCACCATTCGGATCGTAGGTCCAAAATGCACCGGGGTCATCACGGTCACCTTAAGAGCGATGATAGTGATATCACAACGGTCAAAATAAAGGTCGCCCTCGGGGCCGTAGTACCGCCGTGTTGCATGGCAGCTGGGTTCTCTCCTGCAACAAAAGGCAAGGTAAACGTCATTAATTTAACGCGCTCTGTGTGTGATCCTTTCTCCTTCCTTCATTCGTATTTCCATTTGCGGTGGGAAGTATATCAAATTTCAGGAGGAGACCGCAGAGGTCTCGAATTTTTTTCAAAAATATTTAAAATGTTTACGAAAAATCCGTCGCCCGTAGCTCCGATATTGCATCACGAGCAGAACGTGGGCAGATTAAAGTCCGCCATCGTTTTTCCAACCCACGTATTCTAACTAGTATTATATTTCATGCGAATTGCGGCTTACGAGAGACTGAATACTGAGCGTTTGCAAAATTTACGTTATTATATCAGCATCCTTCAAATATCTTTCATAAAACGCATCATAAAACAACACAATTCGTTATATTCCTATAATAACAGTTAGTTAAGGTAATAGTTTCATCTTTTGAATAAAGAAAACAAACTGTATTCTCAGTTTGAAATTTAATAAAGACAGGAGAGATTTCTAAAAACACGAAAAAGAAAAGGTTTTAAAAGAGGTACATGAATTGTACGTGTGAAATCTCCGCTAATAACTGAGAGCAATATTTCTACTTCGACCTAATCGATAAATGTCTTGTTATTACAACGTTTCATTTGTTCGTTTCTTATCTGTCTCTAAATTACATTTCCGTCTTTATTTTCGTGCCTTGAAATTATTGACCGCCGCTAATATCGTTGAAATTTTATTACCTCTGCTTTTGGCCTGCTTTGCTATGCCTTAATATATATGTATATTCGTTTAGTTATAAGTGTTTCAATTCATTAAGAATGCAAGGAAAACGTAAGGAGAGACTCGAATAATAAATCGTCCCGCGTCCGAAAATACATCTGGTAATTAACGATAAAAGTAATTAGAGTAAAAATATAAGAATACTTGTACTTTATATATACATTGTAAGCAATCTATTCTCCGCTATAACAAGCGGAAACATATTCCGTAACGTTCCAAATGGAATAACATTTCAATCCTTTTATTTGTTCTGTCACTGGTGCCGTGATAAAAGCCCCGAAAGATTGGTACACACACATTGATTGCCAATGCCCAGTATTTGGCTTTTGAATTGTCCAAAAATTCAAAATATAAACGCGAATCGGTCATCCATAAAATCCGTGGTAAAATATCAAATGCGACGCAATCTCACGGCAAGCTGTCGCATTTAAAAGTGACAAGAATTGCGGTTTGCACGAATTTCGTAAATGGCTGATCGAAACCGTTTGTCGCAATCGCGGGAAAAACATTCTCTTTTATCAGATATAAAAAAAACGTGACGTGTTTGAAAAATAATTATCCCGCGTTTGCCTTTACCTTAGCCTTAGCCAATGATATGATTTATAATCAAAAGAAGCTAATATGTATTAATCTTAAGCTTCATATATTCCAATTGATAACATATTCTAGAATCTAGATTTTACGGTCTTCTACATGCGTGCAGCACACGGTACACGCAGCAAATTTCTCTGCAATTCCGCGCTACAGTTTGACGATACAGTTGTAACTATGTTTAATTATGAATACAATTATGATAATAATACATGTTTTGATACACTTGATATTATAACGTGTAATATTATATTGCTTTATGTGGTTACAGTGCTAAAGGCACGTATATTTGACAACTAAATCACATTACGGAATTTGACAACCGTATTAATCGAATCGTTATCGCGCATATTTTATTTCTTTCTCTCTGCCCTCTATACTAACTCCATAATTAACTCTATAATTCATCTTCGCTTCCTTGGCACAATCGAACGTTCGGCACAATCGATTCCGAAGTTTTTTCCGAAGTCGAAAACATGCTATCCACGTAGCAGTTTTAACGGCTGGTCATACGATCTCTTCCCAAGATTCAATTAAACGCTCTCCCCGGAGAAGAAAAATTTACAACTCTGTTTACGCGCCTTCCGCCGGTAAACCGGCCCTTAATCCCGGATTTTCGTCTCGTTAATTGAATCGTCTGAATTCTCACTGACTAAGATATTTCGTCTCGTTTTATGTCTCGTCTTATTGAAAATGTTTTTGTTAATACAGCAAAGCATTGAATTGGACTATATTTTTAACCGTTAGAAGAAAATATTCAATTTCATATACAAGTTGATTTCAGTTTTCAAAAATAACGAAATATATTTAGTAAGATGAAAATAAATTTTAGATTATGTAGGATATTTAGTAGTTTATATCTATAATCGGCGAAAATCTATTCATTTGACACGGATTATGCAGAGTATTTCGCCATTCGACCTCTGCTTAATTACGAATTAATCGGCCGATCACTCATATGCCGCGCGCATACATATACGCAATACCACGTAATGTAGCGTGCAAATTCGGCATAATTTCATTGACTTCACTAATCACGTTGCACCATCGTCCAAGTACTTTGCTCAATATGATATTCGGACCTTCATAAATTTACCAAAGCCGATCACACGGGACTTTGTTTGATGTTCCCGTAATTTCGGACGTGAACATATCTGCTCAGATTTCGAGAGGAGGTAGACGAACTAAATTCAATTTCGAATCGCAACAAACCTTTTACTCGGGTAGAGTAAAATTAATTGATGCCGTTTCGCTATCTCGGCTCTCGGGGACGGGGCGTAAATTTTAATTCGCGCCACCGACTCGAGAATTGTATAATATTCTACGTAACCGCGCGCGATCAATCACACACTCGGCGACTCGGAGATATCAGTTTCTTCTGTCTTCCAACGGTCTCCGGGAGGGTGGCTCGAGTCGGGACTTAAAGAATCGCCACGGTGGAAAAAGGCGGATGCGAAATGAGCTGTCAAGCGCCCTCCGGAGATTTCCTTCTGCGTATTATACATGGCAGCGCGCGTGCGCGCGCGAGCGAGCGAGCGAGCGGGCCTGTTAACTACATCTTGCGACGAGAGCTTTGCAAACTCCTCACGCCCGGCCTTACGTCGACGACGTAAGGATGCGGAGATGAGGAGACAGAGACAGAGAGAGAGAGGGGGGAAGGGGGGGAGTCAGATGGAGCGCAGTGATGCTGAAGAGGCAAAGGCAGACTTCCGTGTCATAGGAAGGATAGAGGCGGGTCGACGTGTAGTCCTCCTGGAGCCTGCGGCTACGATTATTAATGGGTAGGGCGTGACACCCCGCGAAATAACCTCTCTACCCCCGCTTCTACACACGTACACACATACACACAAAAACGCACATACATACGCCAGGACCAACCGACCAACTACCGCTTCAACTCCGAGTCACTTGTCTCCTCGTAGGCATTAACTAGGCCAAGAACTACTCATTTTCGAAAGCGAACAGTCCGCCACTCGTGCGCTTTTCAAGCTTTTTTCATCGATCACTTTTATCCGGTCAACCCGCTGGCCATTCTATCGTTTCACATTTATTTCTATTTTTCTAGTGTCTCACCGTCTTATAACTCTCCTGTCTTTACGTGAATTTTTCTATCATTAAAAATTTTTTTATTCTACAAAGCGAAGCGTGCTTATGCTAGAGGGTAGTTATCTTATTCGGAATACGACCTTATCGACGTTAATTTTCTATGAGAAGAGAACGAAAGTAAAAAAGATCACAAAGTAAGAGATCAAGCAGAAGTAGAGGAAGAAAGAGGTGTCGTGCGAGAAAGCCCTTCAGGCGAACACGATGAGATAGTACCGAGGTAATGGTGTTTCATCTCCAAGTCCGGCTTGCACTTAATTAATAATCACGAGCATATCTCGAGAATAATTAATTGTAAAGAGGTCTTCCATTATATCGTTAAAGGGGTACATTAATTGGAAAGAAACAATGAGAAAGGTGTATAACTACGTCACGCTTTTTTGCTGAAAAAGAACCAAAATCATTGCGTTCTCTTTTTCATTTTTGTAGATTCTACGTCAGAGGCAGCGGCTTTCATATTGTTTGTTATATAACTGTTATACCCAGCGCGCATTCTCTCAGCGCCAACACAAGTGCGGTTTAAATTTGCATACTAAACTGAAGAACTTTAAAGTTTATTTAAATATTAATATTACGACACTTAAACTGTAACGTTATTCTGTCTGTTTCGCACGAATAATATCTCTAATAATAAGATGACTATAATATCTCGAATATTTATTTTATCTAGCACATAGCACATAGAGATGTATATATGCAATATAACTTACTGTAGCCAAAAATGGCTGTAAGCTTCCATAGCTATTACTGGTAAAGAGGGAACATTTGGAATTTGGTAGTCATTTCATGCGAAGCACGGGGCGCAAAGACTCGATCCTCGATTGATCAGGGCATTAGGATGCGGCTCGTGTCACGATGATCAAAGATGACCACAATCCCCGTTTCGCAAATTGCTCAGTCCGACGGACATCATTAACGGCAATCGCATGCATAAACGGATAGACGAGCCGCGGAAGTACGAAACATTTCGCGATGCATATAGAACTACACGAAATTTCAGAAACGTGGATCGACTCCTCTCGCCACGGCAAACTACTTTTGAATGCGAGCCTCGAGCGTCCGACTACTTGTCAAGCAAATTCGCATTACTTCCAGTATTATGATCGCTCTTGTAGTTACTGGCATACAACACCCGCGGTAATAACTCTCCGACTTGCGCATTCCGCGTACTCATCATCGCGATCGTGGCTTAACTCTAACTTTACTTTACCTGGCTCATACCTCGTATCGCGAGATAGTAAGACGCTTGTTTTGCCGGCAATATATGTTTCTGTACAGGAGGAGCATATAGTTAAGAATTTCGTCGTAGCTGGCATTGATCGAACACGTTTGGCTAGAGAATATAACTGCCAAAAGTACGCTTACCAAAGAGCAAGTTCCAAAGGGCGCGTGCACGCGAATTTAAATGAAGCACCTGACATAACTCGCGAACGTCTCGCAATCCATAACTTCCTGATCTAGCTTTCGCAGCAAAATGGAGTAGTTGTTGGTTAAGCGGCCGAAGGCTGTTATTAACATCGTTTGCCAAAAAGGTACCAGAGCCGCAGATTATACCGGAACTGTGTGTCGCCAGCAAGCATTTTCTTGAGTGCAGCTCTCTCGTCAAACTTTACCGGAAGAAGATCGAACTCTCGTATTGGGCCGACTTAAGGTAATCCGCCGTAAATAATGCACATCACCTATAGATGCGGCGTCTCTGAGCCGCTCTGCCCCGAGCGCGAAAACCCGCCGTGAAAACTCGTTGAGCTCTTTTGCCATAAGTTCGAAAGACGTTCTCCCCCCAAACCCCGCACAGTATCGACCGCCTTGCAGTGGCATCGCCCATCCGCCACTATAGAGCCTGTGTTTAGCGGCATTTCCCACAAGAGCACGCGTCATCGACTCGACTTACGTGCTATTTCGTCGTGATACGAAAGTTTCGTGGTTTACGTCATCGAAAGATAAAAGAGAGAAGCACCAGGGAGAAAACAGCGAAAACCCGCGCCATCCGGCAATAGATCAAAAACGGGGGAGAAATACGCTGAAAATTGCTTGCCGAAAACAGAAAAACAGATCGAGCTAAATATATCCGAGGCAATTTTTCTGGATTACGGAGAGATTCGTATATATCGATAAATTAGGACAATGCATTCAGTCATTTAATCGAATTCGATTAACTCGAACGAAATCGCATCAATATTTATCCATGCTAATTCCATCGTAAAAATGATCGTATTTGTATCTACTTTGAATTCAAATTATACATAGCCATTTGTAACTTTGAATATGAATGAACTATATCTATCAACACAATAAATTAATTCTACTCGGTTTTCCCGTAATAAAACTTTCCCTCCCTTTACATTGTTTCCATAACAAAATTATAAGCATAAGAATTAAGCACACTACAGGAATAATGTTCATTTTAAACGCTAATTTGACTATGCCGCGAGAATGAAGAGGATTATAAAAGGAAGAAGAGTCTTGCGACAGCTCAGCTTGCTGAAGAAAGAAATGGGTCAACCTGAATATTCTCAACGAACTTTTCTATGAATACGCCATGCGCCAGTATTAGACGGCAGTCAGCGGGACACACGAAACAGCGCAAGTTACCCACGAGGAACAAAAAGGGTATGAATAAGTACGGGCGACGGCATAAGAATAAAAACAGCATTTAGTAGCATCTCTTAATGACTTCAATATATATTATATATATATTTTTTCTTATATATGTTCTATTCTCAATCTTTCTCCTCTGCATCGTGAGAGTCGGACTATTTTCTATTAATACAGTCAAGAATGTCATTTGGCGCAAGAAACTCGTTGACAAAACGGAAATGGAGACCCAAGTGAAAATCACGAAGAGCGATCGAGCGACCCGTCAACGACAGCGCCTCCGTCTCGGTCGCGTCCGGCGCCGGTTATTTACCCTGATGAAATCACAGCTTTGTATTCCTACACGATCGATTGGCGCAAGAAGATGTGCAGAGAGAAGAAAGCGCGACCGAGCGACCGACCTCTTGGAGCGTGAGGCGGACGAGGGCGGCAAGCCGAGAAATGGGAGGCGGCGAAGGAAAGAAAAGGGGGACCGGTAATAGGCATTGGCGCCGTTGAAAAGCCGTGGAAAATCAATTATCGACCGTGCAAAGGGGTGGAAAATTATATCGATAGGCGTCGCAGACCTCCCCACGAAGGTGACTGGCATCGTCTTCTCCGCCACTCGCCACTCGCCTTCGAAGTCTACCAAACGCCGTTATCGGTAGCGAGCAGAGACTGATTCTTTAACCGTGATTTCAAGCATGGCTGATTGCTTGGATGCAGGCTGAACTCTCTCTGATACACAATTATAAGAGAACGCAGCGCACGAATTATCGCCCGAGGCGCTCGAACCGCGCGTAAACAATGGTTTTCTCGCACCGGAGAAACACGCCGAACTTTCCCGCTGTGATTTTAATTCCTCTACTCGTAAAATAGCTAACAGCGTTTTTCGTTTACATCTGTAAAGTATATTTCTCGGGGAAAAAGTTAACAGACGGATGTGGGTATTTCTAATTATAAATATGTACATCTCACTCTCTCTCTCTCTCTCTCTCTCTCTCTCTCTCTCTCTCTCTCTCTC